ATACTTACAAGTTCTCCTTCCAAATTAAATTAAACCTCATAGAAAAGGCAAAAATTATCAATGATAACATATTTGCTTTCAAAATTAGAGGCTCTTAACAGAGAATTTATGTAAATATTCTGGAGTTGGTTTTTGTATTTATCAGGACTCTCTTGGTACAAAAAAAACCAGTTTAAGTAAAAAAGAACCATATAGAACCAGTTACTTTTGGTTTTCAACCTTTCGACAGCTGTGGACCATGCTGCTCCAGTGACTGAAGACCCTTGAGTGACAGACCACATCAATGAAAGGAAAGGAACCGGGATGCAGTGACCATTGTCAGCAATAGCTTGTGCATAGGGTCTCCTTGACTCCAACTCTAGGGAACATTTCCACACCTTCACAAAAGAGAAACCAGGTCTCTTCTCAGCTAGAGCCACTTAAAACCCTGGGGAAATGCCAACTGACTCAGCTGATAATCTACGCCACTCTTATTACCAGAAGGGAAAGGACAGGATAGCTGCTGGGAATATAAACATACAAAATATCTAGAACTGCACCTTCTACAATTCCACCTGGTTTTCAAATATACACCATATTTTTCATAAGTTACATAGCAAGTTCAACTCTAAAGCCACCATTGAAAGTTAAACCATAACAAATACTCTGCCAAATGATCACATTTACAATTCACATCAACTCTGAAAGGTCATTATTACCCGATTTTACAAGCAGCAATGATATCCTTCATTCCATGTCCCTTAAAACCTAAGAAAGCCCTCGGAGAGAAGTATTAGTTCCTGTGTGTGCCTGTCTTTCTTCTTTTCTCTACTCCTTCCCATCCTCCCTTTTTTAATAACTGAGTCTTTCAAGACCTTGCAAGTATACTTACTGTGATTCTCTCATTTGTTTAGTATCGAAGCAAGAACATTTTTAGTAAGTTTCTCAAGTCATGCTTTAAAATACTTTGGGGGGAGGGTAGCATGACTGTTCATTAAAGGCTTGACCTATATTAGCTCCTCTAGAGATTGGTCTATGCAACTTTTCCCATTTTTTCCTCATTTAATAACACCTCCAACTGCTCTTATTTCTCCCCTCTCCCATACACACTTTTTTCTTTTTTCTTTCTTTTTTGTTTTTGTTTCAACTTGGGGCCACACCCAGCATCGTTTGGGGGCTACTCCCAACTCAGAATTTAGGTGGGTGGGGAGGACAGTGAAGAGGTGTTTCCGCAGTACTTGAGAGACCAGAGGGTGCCAGGGGTCAGACCTAGAGTTTGTGCATATGAAGCATGGGTTCCAGCTTTTTAAGTCATCTGTCCACTCTGCTCCTTCTTTTTTCAAACCTTAGGAATGTTTTCTTACATGCATCTCTACTAAAGACCCAACTCACTGCATTATTCTGCCACAAAATGTTTTTAAAAATGTTGAGTCCTCAATGGAGTACTATGTAGCTCTTAGAAAAGATGAAGTCATGAAATTTACATACAAGTGGTACAACATGGAAAGTATCATGCTAAGCGAAATGAGTCAGAAAGAGAGGGATAGACATAGAAAGATTGCATTCATCTGGGGGATATAAAGTAACAAAATATGAGATTAATACCCAAGAATAGCTGAGATCAGCACCAGGAGGATTACTCCATAGCTTAGTGGCCAGTCGGGCATTCTAGAGGAAAGGGCAGCTCAGACAGAGAAGGGAACACCAAATAAAGGGTGTTTGGAGGACCCTCCCAGGAGGGGAGATGCATGTCGAAAGTGGACTATGGACTGAACATGTTTGCCACTCAATGCCTCTTTTGCAGACCACAACATCCAAAAGGAGAGAGAGAACACAGGGGATTGCCCTGCCACAGAGGCAGGGGGGGATGGGGGGATGGGGGGATGGGGGTGGGGGGGATATTATCCATGGTGGTGGAAAATGGGCACTGGTGGAGGGATGGGTATATGGTCATTGTATAATCGAAACCCAAGCACAAAAAATTGTAAATCTACAACTGTACCTCATGGTGTTTCACTAAAAAAAAAAAAAATGTTGAGTCCTTCCTAGTTGCTTTTTACAAGAGCTGAAGATAGCATTGTGAACAAAAGTAGCTCATGGCATGGCCTAGTCTGGCCAAACTCCAAAGAGCACCATTCACAAAGGATACAAAACTGATAAAGTTTATAGACTGGTGGAAACATATTCTAGATTATATAATGATCTACAAATACATTGTAACTATTTTTAGAATTATTTGTAAGCACCAGTATGTGCTCAGGGCTTACTCCTGGCTCTTTGCTGAGGGATCACTCCTGACAAGGCTCAGAGGACCAAATGCAGTGCCAGGGATCAACTCCTGATTGGCTACATGCAAGACCAGTACCTTACCTGCTGCAGTCTTCAGCCCCTGTCTTAACAATGATTTTGTTTTGTTTTGGGGCCACATTTAGCAGTGCTCAGAGCTTTTTCCTGGCTCTGCACTCAGAAATTACTCCTGGTAATTTACTCCATATGTCAGGGGGACATATGGGATGCTGGGGATTGATCCAAGGTTGGCCACATGCCTTACCCATTGTAACTATCATGCCAGCCCAACAATTATTACTAATTCTGTTTTTTGTTTTTGTTGTTATTGTGTGTGCCAGGCATCGAACCCAGGACTACATACATGCGAGGAAAGGCAATCTACCATTACGGCACATCCCTTACCTGAGAACAGCTCTTACAGTACAGAAAAAGTCACTGACACTGTCACTGTCCTCCCTTTGTTCATCGATTTGCTCGAGCGGGCCCAGTAACGTCTCCATTGGAGACTTTGTTGTTACTGTGTTTGGCATATCGAATACGTCACGGGGAGCTTGCCAGGCTCTGCCATGTGGGCGAGATACTCTCGGTAGCTTGCCGGGCTCTCCGAGAGGGGCGGAGGAATCGAACTCGGGTCAGCCATGTTGGCCACATGCAAGACAAACGCCCTACCCGCTGCGCTATCACTCCAGCCCACAGAAAAAGTACTAACCACAAAAGAAAAGACGCACTTGGGGTGAAGCCAAGGTGGTTGCTTTGATAAGACTTGTATTTATTTTCTCCTATGATGACAGAAATTCCACACCAAAACTTGGATTGACCAACAAAATACCTAGCTGCCATGAGGGACCAGAGAGACTGTATAGGGGTAAGGCACTTGCCTTGCATGCAGCTGCCCAAGTTTGAATCCCTAGCACTGCATTCGTTTCCATTATCCCCATCAGGGCTTACAGAGCCAGGAACAAACAGCCCTGAGCACCAACTGGTGTGTCCCTTTCTAGACACCAAAAAACAACAACAAAAAAAAAAACAATAAAAGAAAAATTTTAGGGGGCTGGAGCAATAGCACAGCAGGTAGGGCGTTTGCCTTGCACGCGCTGACCCAGGTTTGATTCCCAGTATCCCATTTGGTCCCCCAACCACTGCCAGGAGTGATTCCTGAGTGCAGAGCCAGGACTAACCCCTGAGCATGGGCTGGGTGTGACCCAAAAAGAAAAAAAAAAAAGAAAAAGAAAAAATTTAAAAATAAATTAAAACCCTGCTAAAAAGGGGGGGGGCACAAATTTGCAAATGAATTTAATTACATATGTATTTAGTGTTTTTTGGGGGGGGTTGTGGGGTTTTGTTTGTTGTTTATTTGGGGGGCCACTGTGTGCTAGGGCAGGGAATGGTGTATTTGTGGTGGGGAATGTCACTCTCTTCAGTGATAGGAATGGAACCAAGATTCCAGCATCATCCAGCCCTTAGTTCTCATGTTGTGTTGTTACTAAGTAACAATCCAATTGAGCTTATTTTAAAGATCTGATGGGATTTGTTAAATGATTCTCTCATTATCAAGAAAAGAAAATGCCCTGGGCTGGAGACATAGTTCAGTGGATAGGATGGTGACCCTAGAGCCGCGCACCCAGGCTCGATTTCTAGCATCGAATATGGTTCCCCAAGCACACAAAGATTCCTGAGTGCAGAGCCAGGAGTTACCCCTGAGCACCATCGGGTGTGGCCCCCAAAAAACAGACAAAGAGAAAATGTCACCAGACTTACCTAGAACCAAGCATTCTCACTCCTCTTTACTCTTTTTTTTTCTTTCTGATTTCAGGGCTGAACACAGAGCCTCAAACAGGTTAACAACCCCCCCCCCCCCCCCCCCCGCTCTGAGGCTCTATGATTGATTGATGTAGCCACTGAATTGTTCACATTTATTCTATTTCCTAAATTTTTGTCCCTTTACGAAGGCTTTCTTTGCAACATTTATTTATTTTCTTTTTGGGTCACACCCGGCAATGCACAGGGGTTCCTCCTGGCTCTGCGCTCAGGAATTACCCCTGGCGGTGCTCAGGGGCCCATACGGGACGCTGGGAACCGAACCTGGGTTGGCTGCGTGCAAGACAAACGCCCTACCCGCTGTGCTATTGCTCCAGCCCTTGCAACATTTTTAAAAACTCTTTTCTAAAGAGATTCTCTGGCATCACCACCCTGTGATTTGAGGTTAGCGACCAAAGTGACCTCAGAAGAAGGAAAACAACATTGATTAATAAAGGAGGAGTGCAAATAGATGACCAAGAAAAAGTGAGTGGAGATGGTCACTCTTTTGGACAGACCTCGAGAGGCAGCAGGCAGGAAGGGCCATACTGGTATTTAACAAGTGACAATGGCTTCCATCATCTCTTTGACCCTCTTCCTTGTCCCTTCTCTTCGAGAGCCTGCAGGTAGTCCAGGAAGAGCTAGAGGGTAGAAGCGCGCCCGCGAGGGCAGCCGGAGAGCTGCGAGAAGAGCCGCCTCGGGGCGGGCTCTTCTCTGGGGCCAAACCCCGACGGCTCGCGAGGGTGGGGTGTGGGTGGGGCGGGGGACCAAAAAAATCACTTAGGGTTGCCGCGGAACCGTTTGCGGGAGGCCGCAGTTGCACTGGGACGCGGGACCGCTGGGCGGTGGACACGTGCATGGCGGCGCTTCCGGCCGGGGGGGCGGGGAGACGCGAGCGGCCTTGCGCGTTTCCGGGAACTCGGCGGCCCCGGCGCCCCCGCGTCCAGCATCCCCGCTCCGGGGACCCGCGCCACCTACCTCCGCCCCGGGACCCAGGGCCCCGAGGTCCTAGGTCCACTGTGACTCTGCGTCCCGGACCCGACGCTGCAAAAGGAGAGGCGGGGAAAAGCCAGTTTCCATAGATTTCTCTACAGACCCAGTACAGTTGAGCCTCGCGAGGTCACACGTAGCAGGGGGGGGGGGGGGGGGTTGGAAAAGAATGAAGAAATTAAAGCTGAAGGAACTAGAGAGTCGCCTGCAACAAGTAGATGGATTCGAAAAGCCCAAGTTGCTACTAGAACAGTATCCGACCCGGCCGCACATTGCAGGTAGGCGGCTGGGGGATCAAGCCCTGCTCAACTTAGAAGCTAGCGCGCTTTCTCTCCCTCTTCAGTTCTACAGAGAACACCTGGAAGATGACTTACCACATCAGAGGCTCAGAGACTGGTTTCCTGCACACCTTTTAGCCTAGGTGTCTTGGTTTCATTCATGGCATTGAAATCCCGGAGGGCGAAATTCTTGGTGATCTTGTTCGCATGCGTTCCCAATGCCTAGAGGCTTAGGAAATATTAATTTAGTAAGGATCGATTTCCTGTTGCAATAAATTACCATTCTAAAGGTTCTCAAGCTGTGTATTTTACCCTGGAAATGAATACCAGCCAGAGTTGGTAGCCAAAGGACTACGTTTGAACAAATGCCGAGTAGCGCCTATATGAAGATAAAGATGCATTTCAATTCTCACTTTTGGCATCATTTCGCAAAAAATTTCAATATCAAAGGAAAGTGATAATATGCGTGTATAGCAAAGGGTATATATGGGGTTTTTCTTAATCTTATTCTCATTTTACCTTTCGAGGTTTTGTTAGTCTTGGCATTGTCCGCAGACTAGTTTTTGGGAACCCTAGTGCTGTTACCCTTCTTGGGATGGGGGTTGGGGGGTTGTCTATTACTACGCTGCAAGTTATACTTAAGGTGTTACTGTTTTCATCACCTGGATGTCCATCTGAGAGAAATAATGCAGTTGTTTTTAATCATTTGCGCAAATTGGATTTTAGTCATCCACTTACTCCCTAATGTTTTTTGATCTTGTAGCGTGTATGCTCTATACAATCCATAATACCTTTGATGACATTGAAAATAAGATGGTTGCAGATCTAGGATGTGGTTGTGGAGTGCTTAGCATCGGAGCTGCAATGTTAGGAGCAGGGTAGGTGATCAGTATATGCTGTTTGGGTATGGGAAGGGTATGATAATAGTATAGATAGGAACAACTAAATGATATATAAATAGGAACAGCTGAATGATGTTCATAGGACTCCCAGTATAAGATGACAGAAGCAAGAATCTGAGTACATTTTGGATGGGCAAAACAAAAGACAGCAACAGTGGCAATTGCTTGCCTCTTAAACTTGAGTTTCTAATCCTTGCCAGGGTGGTAAGCCAGGCTTTTGAATGGTAGCACTAATTTTTATTTTGCCAGCTGGGTTTTAAAGTTATGTGGGGGGCTGGAGCAATAGCACAGCGGGTAGGGTGTTTGCCTTGCACACAGCCAACCAGGGTTCGATTTCCAGCATCCCATATGGTCCCTGAGCACCGCCAGGAGTGATTCCTGAGTGCAGAGCCAGGAGTAACCCCTGTGCATCGACAGGTGTGACCCAAAAAGCAAAAAAAAAGAGAAAGCTCTGTGGGCCTAGAGAAGTAGCTCAGTGGTGGAGCTCCTGGCTTTGTTCCCTCCCACTACAGAACCAACCAAGTTTATGGGCTTCCTTATTGTTTTGTATTTATGTAGCAATAATTAATTCACTCTTTGTGATTGTTGTATTTACAGGTTATGTGTTGGATTTGACATAGATGAAGATGCACTAGAAATATTTAATAGGAATCTGGAAGAGTTTGAGTTAACAAATGTTGACATGATTCAGTGTGATATGTGCTCATTATCTAACAGAATGTCTAAGTCATTTGATACAGTAATTATGAATCCTCCCTTTGGAACCAAGAATAATAAAGGTTAGTAACAAGGATCGAGAGTACTGGTATATTTTTTAAAAAGCAAATTTTATTTTTTTAGATTTATATTTGTATTCTGATTGGGCTGGAGCAATAGCACAGCGGGTAGGGCGCTTGCCTTGCATGCAGCCGACCTGTGCCGACCCTGGTTCGATTCCTCCGCCCCTCTTGGAGAGCCCGGCAAGCTACCGAGAGTATCGCGCCCGCACGGCAAAGCCTGGCAAGCTAACTGTGGACGTATTCAATATGCCAAAAACAGTAACAAGTCTCACAATGAAGATGTTACTGGTGCCCGCTTGAGCAAATCAATGAACAAGGGGAGGACAGTGCTACAGTGCTATTCTGACTAGGTGATTTTATTTTGGGCGGCACATACAATGTGGATATTGAGGAGACTGGACCATGCAGCACTCAGGATCAAATTAGTATTGCTGTATGCAAAGCATGAGCTTAGCCCGTTGACCCCCAATGATTTTTTTTTAATTAAATTTTTTCTTGTAGGTTATATGGTTATAGTAAAAAGTAAAGGCCCTCCCGTTGATCGTCGATTTGCTCGAGCGGGCCCAGTAACGTCTCCATTGGAGACTTTGTTGTTACTGTGTCTGGCATATCGAATACTCTCGGTAGCTTGCCGGGCTCTCCGAGAGGGGCGGAGGAATCAAACTCGGGTCGGCCATGTTGGCCGCTTGTAAGGCGAACGCCCTACCCATGGTTATAGTAGTGTAACATTTATGGTTATACTGATGTTTTTGGTTTGTTTGAGCCATACCTGGTGGTGCTCAAGGATTATTCCTGGTCCTATACTCAGGAATGACCCCTGACAGTGCTCTGGGGATCATCTGCGGTGTTGGGCATCAGACTGATGTTAGCTGCAAGCAAGACATGTGAGCTTTAACCCCTATAGTATCTTGCTGACCCCACATTTCCAGTTTTGATTTTTATACCTTCACTACCACTACAGAACCCAAGAACCTCCTCCACCACTATCCTTATGTCACTGACTTCGAATCTGTCTCTTCCTTGGTGCCCCCCCCCCCACTCCTTGGTTCTGTTTTATAATGCAAGGAGTTTGTCATTATGCATTATTGTTTATTCCCTTATATTGTTTCTCTGTATACAGATGAGTGAGATGATCCAATATTTATTTCTACCTTAGATTTATTTCACTTAACATAATACCAGTTCTATCCAAGTTGTTGCAAACTGCAAGATTTAGTCTTTTCTTGTAACTGTTTTTTTCTTTTTTTTTTTCTTTTTTTATTAGTGAAAAACCATGAGGTACAGTTATAGGCTTACAAATTTTGTGCTTGGGTTTCAGTTATACAATGATCAAGTGCCCATCCCTCCACCAGTGCCCATCATCCATCCCCACGGGTCCCAGCATCCCCCCCCAACCCTCATCCCCCCCCCTTGTAACTGTTTAATACTTCATTATGTATACTATAACTTTTTTATTCATCTGTCGTTGGACATTTGAATTGTTTTTCTATTCCAGCTATTGTACTTCACACTGCAATTAATCTCTTCAGGTTAAAGGTTTTGTGTTTTTGGAGTAGATGCCAAGAAGTAGTATTGTTGGGTCATAGGGAAGCTCTGTTCCTTTTTGAAATTAAAAAATATATATCTTTTTCTGTTGCATCTGCAAACTTTCTTTTAAAAAAGTTTTTTTAATTGATTCACTGTGAGATAGACATAAAGCTATTCATGATTAGGTTTCAGTCATACATTGTTCCAACACCCATCCATCTACCAGTGTACATTTCCCAACACCAGTGTCTCCAGTTTCCCTTCCTCCACCCAGCTTGCCTCTGTTACTGGCACTTTCTTCTCTCTCTTTCTCTCTCTCCCTGCCTGTCTCTCTTTCTCTCTCCCTCCCGCCCTTTGTCTCTCTCTCTCACCCCCCTCTCTCCTTCTGGGCATTACGGTTTGCAATACAGATACTGAAAGGTTATCAGGAATATCCCTTTACCTACTTTTAGCACTCAGTTCTTGTTCAACATGATTATTTCCAGCTATTATTACTGTTCCCTTCTCTATCTTACCTACCCTCCACCCCACACATTCTTTTGGTTGATTCCAACCACTGACCAGTCCTAGCCCCTGTTTCCCCTGGCTGTGGATATTAGTCTTCTAATATATATTTTTATAGAATTTTTATTTTATTAAAGCATCATGATTTAGTTATTCATAGTTGAGTTTTAGACATACAGAGTTGCAGTACCAACCCCAATGTAGTTTTCCTCCCACATACCCTGACCATTCCTTGATTAGTTTCCAGAATGCTCTTTATAGAGGCTGAACCAGATGACTTCCCCACCAGCAGTGAATGAGGGTTCCTTTCTCCCCACATCCCCGCCAGCATGTCTGTTTCCCAGCTTTTTCATATGATATTCTCAGTGCTGTGAGATCTCATTGCTGCTTTCATTTGTTTTTCCCTGGTAAGTGACAATGAACACTTTTCTACTGATCATCCACATATCCTGTTTGAGGAAGTGTCTATTTATCAGCATGCATTAGTCCACCCATTTTGTTTTTGTTTGGGGGCCTCACCCAGCAGTGCTCAAGGGCTGCTCCTATCAGGCTTGGAGACTATGGAATGCTAGAGATCGAACCTGGGTCAGCCACATGCAAGGCAGGCACCTTACCTGCTGTACTACGGCTCCAGCTCAGCCCACACATTTTCTGATGGGGTTACTGGGGTTTTTTTTTTTTTTAACAATTTTTTTTCCCTTTATTTTATTTTTTTTAAAGTTGTAGATTTACAATTTTTTGTGCTTTGGTTTCAATTATACAATGATCAGATACCCATCCCTCCACCAGTGCCCATTTTCCACCACCATGGATAATATCCCTCCCACCCCCATCCCCCCATCCCCCCTGTCTCTGTGGCAGGGCAATCCCCTGTGTTCTCTCTCTCCTTTTGGGTGTTGTGGTCTGCAAAAGAGGCATTGAGTGGCAAACATGTTCAGTCCATAGTCTACTTTCGACATGCATCTCCCCTCCTGGGAGGATCCTCCAAACATCCTTTATTTGGTGCTCCCTTCTCTATCTGAACTGCCCTTTCCTCTAGGATACCCGGCTGGCCTCTAAGTTATGGAGTAATCCTCCTGGTGCTGATCTCAGCTATTCTTGGGTATTAATCTCATACTTTGTTACTTTATATCCCCCAGAAGAATGCAATCTTTCTTATGTCTATCCCTCTCTTTCTGACTCATTTCGCTTAGCATGATACTTTCCATATTGTACCACTTGTATGTAAGGTTCATGACTTCATCTTTTCTAAGAGCTACATAGTACTCCATTGTGTAGATGTACCAAAGTTTCTTTAACCAGTCATCTGTTCTTGGGCATTCAGGTTTCTTCCAGTTTCTGGCTATTGTAAAGAGTGCTGCAATGAACAAACAAGTGCAGATGTCACTTCGACTATACATTTTTGCCTCTCTGGGATATATTCCCAGGAGTGGTATTGCTGGGTCAAATGGGAGCTCAATTTCTAATTTTTTGAGAATCGTCCATACTGTTTTCCAGAAGGGCTGAACCAGTGGACATTCCCACCAACAGTGAAGGAGTGTCCCTTTCTCGCCACATCCACGCCAGCATCGGTTGCTTTTGTTCTTTTGAATGTGGGCCAGTCTCTGAGGTGTGAGATGGTATCTCATTGTGGTTTTGATCTGCATCTCCCTGATGATTAATGATGTAGAGCATTTTCTCATGTGCAGAAAAAGCAAATTTTAAAAACCATTTTCATTTTGTTTAGTTGTGATTTTATCCGTTTATTAAACAATCTCTGAACTGTTTTGTTTTACAAATTTTAATTTTGGTTTTTGGGCACACCCAGAGATGCTCAGTGATCACTTCTGGCAGTGTTCACTGAACCATATGCAGAGCTGGGGATCAAACCCAAATTGGCCACATTTAAGGAAAGGACCCTACCTGCTGTAATTTGTCCTCTGAAAAGACATTTTTGTATCCTACGTTGTTGCAAATATAATTTGAAGTGGCTCATTTTCAATTTGGGTAAAAAGGTTTCTAAATACTTCACATCCATTTAATCTTTGTTTTGAAACTGAGTTCAGGAGTGGTTGTACAACTGTGCATTCCATGGCCAAGATCTGTCTCCCAGGCCTCCCCAACAGAAGAACAAAGACAGGACCACAGACTGGTCAGAATGGCCCGTTTAATGCAGCGCTGTCAGCATACTTAGAGAACATCTGGAGAGGTTCTGAAAGGGTTCTAAGTAAATAGATTGCACATAGATGTGATTGATCATTTACAGAGGTAAACCTTTTCAAGGGAGTTCATTCTCTTGGGGGAAATTAACTCAAGAAGACACTGTCTCCCAGGGACATCTATATTGCTTTTCTCTTTCCCTTTAATTTTACATATTAAACAATTAAGTTACTTCTTATTAATGCTTACAGTTATTTGGATAAATACAGTTAAGAGATATAGATTCTGAAACTTGGTTCTCTGGGCTCCGAGGGCAAGCAAGTCTTTCACTGTAAATCCTAGACTAGGTCCTCAGGCCGGTTTAGCTTTTCCTTCCCAATGGGGGTCTCTTTAAGTCATAACTGCTTGCATTAAAACCGTGCTTTTTGTCCCGGGTCCAACCAAGTCTGACAGTGAGGAACTGCCTTTTTGGGTGTTAGGAACTTCGGCAACCGAAGCCTGAGTTATACCAGATGCCAAGGAGTAGATTTATTTCAGTCAATTAACTCCCAGATATTAGAAACATAACATTAATGGTCTTTCTGTGTTTAAGCAAAGAACAATGCTCTATAGTAAAATATGAAAAGGGAAATAGAAAAGCAAGTAATTCATTGCAGAGTCACCAGGTTTGACGTAGTAACTAACACAAAGGAAAGGTAAAGATAACTAGGGACTAGGGGTGCTCATTAGAGCACTGTAAACTTCTCTGGAGGGAGGAAAAGAAGCAATTCACTGATAAAGCTAAAATACTTAGGGTTAATATCCAGTATTTTACTCTTAACAGGAACTGATATGGCATTTCTGAAGACTGCTTTGGCAATGGCAAAAAATGCAGTATATTCTTTACACAAATCTTCAACTCGAGAGGTAAATTCAGATTATCACAAAATTATCATTTAGTTTTAAATTCATGACAGACTTGCTTTGTGGCTTTGGAACTATAGCCTGCACTGCTTTGGGGTTGTCCCCTTCCTCCCACCACCTCCCTTCCCCACTCCAGTGCTCATTTCCCAATGCAGGGGTTTGAACCCAGACCTCCCATACACAAAAGCATGTGCTGCAGCCCTTTGAGCTATCTCCCCAGCCCCTTATGAAAGTGTGTCAAGAATTTCTTGTGAGGGGCTGGAGTGCTAATATGGTGAGGTGGGTAGGGTGCTTGTCTTGCACATGGCATGCCCAGGTTCAATCTCCAGTCCCACATAGGATTCCCCTTTGCCCCACCAGGAGTGACCCCTGGGCAGAACCATGAATGAGCTCTGAACACTGTTGGATGTGGCCCAAAAAAAGGAAAAACAAAGACCTTGGAATTGAACTCAGGTCGGCTATGTGCAAGGCAAGCAAGCGCCTTTCCCAATGTACAGTCACTCTGGCCCCTGGATATTTTTAAAACCACTCACATTAATATGTTGTTTATGTTCAGCATATTCAAAAGAAAGCTGCAGAATGGAAAATCAAGATAGACATTATTGCAGGTAAGACCCTTAACTTTACCACACCACAAAATATAACCTTAATATAGTACGACCAATATGCATTAGCCACACTTTTTTTCCTTCAGATACTAAGAACATTCAGTGTGGCAAAATGTGCATGGCTCATAATGGGTTGGAAATGGAATGAAGGTAGAGAATGTCTCAGACAGTCCCAATATATACATATTTTTTGGTCTTGGCACCACAATCCAGTAGTGCTCAGGGGATCATGATGGGTGCTGGGGGTCAAACTTGGGTTGGCTATGTGTGAGGAAAATGTCCTACCCACTGTGCTATTGCTTTGCTCTGTCCTCTCGAAAAAAAGGGTTTTTTTTGACCCCCTCCTCCCCCCCTGCTCAGTACCGCTTACTGGTCATACTCCTGGTAGTGCTGGGGACCAAATGGGTAGCTGCATGCAAGGCAAGTACCTTAACCCCTACATTCTACCCATATTGGACATTTTTAATAACTACCAAGTGATTCCTCTTAGTTTAACAGAACCCAGTATAAGATCACAGCAATTTAAGAGTTTGGAATTCAAGTTGGTTAGATTTAATTTGAAACCCATGTATGGAAAATACCACATTATGCCTGAATTACCATGGTAATATTCTACATATTCCTGAAACAAAACTATTAAGCTTTTCTTTTAGTGGGAAATAGGTGTAATCATCCACACTAAATCATTTTTGAAACATTTTTATTAGTAAATTAGGCGATATTCACAAACATCAAAATAGGAAACGCATATAATTCAAGTCATTTTGAAATGCCTGGAATAGTGCAATAATAAACTGACCTTGTGTATGCACTGAGGTTTTATCACATCATTAACTGTGTTAAAGATCTATGAACCTTGGTATTGTATAAGTATTGTCATTCTGTAGTTAAAGGTATTATAATACATAACTTGGGATACCTCAAAACAGGCTGGAGCGATAGCACAGCGGTAGGGCGTTTGCCTTGCACCTGGCCAAGCCAGGTTCGATTCGTCCACCCCTCTCAGAGAGGCCGGCAAGCTTGAGAGTATCTCGCCCGCACGGCAAAGCCTGGCAAGCTACCTGTGATATATTCGATATGCCAAAAACAGAAACAAGTCTCACAATGGAGACGTTACTGGTGCCTGCTGAAGCAAATCAATGAACAACGGGAAGACAGTGGACAATGCTACAGTGCTACCTCAGAGCAGTCCCAATAGTATTCTAGTCAGCTTAGCTTCTCCAGATGTGGTCCTCAGATCATCATCATCCACACCATCAGAAGACTTGCAAAATTTCAGGCTCTACTTATTCCTACTTATTAGACTATTTCAACAAGATTTTGATCGAGTGAACAGTTACACACTAAAATTTGAAAGCAGGGGGCTGGAGTGATAGCACAGCGGGTAGGATGTTTGCCTTGCATGTGGCCAACCCAGGTTTGATTCCCAGCATCCCATATGGTCCCAAGTACTGCCAGGAGTAATTCCTGAGTGCATAGCCAGGAGTAACCCCTATGCATTGCCAGGTGTGACCCAAAAAGCAGAAAAAAATAATTGAAAGCAGAGGCCTGAGAGAGTACAGGGGGGAAAATCCTGCCTTGTAAGCAGCCAACCCTGGTACTACATGTGGTCCCAGAGTTCTGCCAGGAGTGATCTACGAACACAGTCAGCATTAGGTCCTGAGTACAGCTGGGTGTGCCCCCCACATCAGCAAAAAAAAAAAAAAAAAAAAAAATTGAAAGCTGTTTAGTGGGTTAGAATTGGTTTTTCTATTGCCTTGTTGAAATAAAAAAATAATCACTTGGGGCCAGAAAGATAGTACAACATATAGATTTGCCTTGCACACTGCTGACCAGGATTTGATCTCCAGCATCCCATATGGTCCCCTAGAACTACCAGGAGAAATTCCTTGGAGTGCAGAGCCAGGAGTAAACCCCTGAGCATTTCCAGATGTGGCCTGAAAAACAACAAATTTTACAAAACACAAAGGATCAATTCCTTTTCCATCCCTCTAAAATTGATCACTAAAGTTTGGGAAACTCTGTTATGTTTCTTGGGGGGGGGGGGAGGGGGAGTCTGTGTCAGGAGCATGATTCCTCTCAACTGTACCTAGATCAGAAGCCACATATGGAATTACTCTCAGTGCTTGGACCCAGCGACACTAGGGCTCATCAAGGCAATACTATACTCAGCACTACTTATCCAGCTGTGTGCATACAAGGATTGGGCTATTACCCAGCGATTTTAACCCCTATACTATCTCTTCTGCCACTGTAACTTTTTTTTTTTTGGGTCACACCCGGAGATGCACTCCTGGCTCTGCGTTTAGGAATTACCCCTGGTGGTGCTCAGGGGACCATATGGGATGCTGGGAATCAAACTCTGGTTAGCTGCATGCAAGGCAAACACCCTACCCACTGTGCTATTGCTCCAGTCCTTGTTTTGTTTTGCATTTTTTTGGGGGGGTCACACCCGGCGATGCACAGGGGTTACTCCTGGCTGCACTAAGGAATTAACCCTGGTAGTGCTCAGGGGACCATATGGGATGCTGGGAAATCAAACCCGGGTCGGCTGCGTGGAAGGCGAACGCCCTACCCGCTGTGCTGTCACTCCAGCTCCCACTGTCACTCTTTAGAAAGAAATATTAAACTGGATTTTCATTTGAGAGCTTGATAGGAAAATAACTAGCTATTTACTACCATCACTAAATTTAAACAGGTGGTTTTTTTCTTTTAAGGGGGTACTGGTATTAATGACCAAAATATCAGAAATACCAATCTCAGTGTGGTATGGCTGATCTTGGGTTATCTATCAAGTCAGTTGTTGGTAGAGCCAAGTAACAGATCCTGAATGTTAAACTTACTAGCATTTAGTAAGGCCTTAACTTACTAAATCCAAGCGTATGTTTATTGTTTATAGAGTGGTAAATATCTGGAAATATAATTTAGATGTTTTTCTTACAGAGCTTCGATATGACTTGCCAGCATCATATAAATTTCATAAAAAAAAATCAGTAAGTCAGTCTTGATTTCTGTCTTTGCTACATTCAGTACTAAAAAAGTTCCAATAAGTATTACTTTTAGTGCTATTAAGTTGTCCTAGTAAATACAGAAAGTCAACAGCCCAGGAGAATACAAGCAGGAACAACTTAAAGATAGTGTTACATTTTTGTTTAACAATGCCTATGAAAGTTACATTTACACTATACTACTATAGGTGCCTTATGGCTGAAAAAAAAAAAACACTCTTTAATTACATGTGCTAGGTAATGCAAATTGACACAAACCTCCAATTTGTAAAACCCACAATTGCAATACTGTTCTGTGCAATAAAAACAGGTATGTCTATAATCAACAGTACTTTTGTTTTACAAATACTTTGCCAAGTGTTTTGAGCACAAAAAGAATACTTAATTTTTGGTTCTTTTTATACAGTATATATTTTTATTAGTTTGTAGTAATTTTCATATTACAAAAGCAATCTAGTGAATCTTCTGATATTGAATATCAGAAATAACACAAACAACTATACATAAAAAAATTTAGATAACAAGAGTCAAACAATTTTTTTTTTCTTACAGGTGGACATTGAAGTGGACTTAATTCGGTTTTCTTTCTAAAAGTCTTTAAACAGAAGCCACATAATTACTAATAAAAGTGATTTTTTAAAATTTTTGGTTATTGAAACTACTGGTCCCCAGCGCCATTTTCTGTTTTCTTTTGTTTTGATGCGGGTTCATCTTTGTCTGTGTCTTCTCTTGCTCTTTTTGCCGGTCCTATAGAGGAACAATATTTACATTAAATTCATCGAAAGCAGGTCTGGAGTGGAGTGCCAGCATAGTGAGTAAGATGCTTCTCTTGCACACATCCAACTAGAATTCAGTCCTCACCAGGAGTGATCTCTCAGCATTCAGGATTAAGCCCAGATTACTGCTGGGTGTGGTCCCAAACAAACCAAAAAACAATAAAAAGCTTTTTCTTTAGTTGAGACATTCTTATCTCTAAACTTATTTTCCAGATATCTTTACATTCACATCATTTGTAATAAATTGTAATTCAATGTAATTTTGTGTCAACAAATCTGAGATCATTTATACGTAATTAAGAAACCATCCTATTCTCTCTCGAAAATAATTGCATCCTTAAGTTCCAAAGGATGCAGAAAAAAACTTACCAGTTGCACCATTTTCATCACGTTCATCATCACTGTCAAATTTAGTTTTCTTGCCCTGAAATTGTACTTTTCCTTTAGCAGACCCAGCTTGGGCTTTATTTCCCTTTCCCTTTCCTTTAAATCTTCGACCTAGAAAGACAAGATTAAGAAATACTTTAAATTCTGTCAGTTTTCAAACTTTTTTTTTACACTAGCAAACAAGGCAATTTAACCAAGTTTTCAAAGAAAAAGAGTAAATGACCTTTTGATTTCCATTTATTTAGGGATTCTTGCTGATCCTCTATGATTTTTTTCAGTGCTTCTTTTTCTACATCTCCTCCAAGAACTTCCCATGTCACTTCTTTGTTCCTTAATTGTAGGTTACCATTATTTGCATCTTTGGCTTTATCCAGTGCATCTTTAGCTTTTTCCTTAAATAGAATTATTCCCTACACCAAAGACAGAAAACTCAAAGTCACAACCTTAAGTTTTATGACACAGGTCATTTCTCTGCTCAAAAGTAATTTTTCCCATTCTACAAATCTCCCATGCCATTATAAATTTGCTGAACATTAGAAACTTATAAAACTTTCAGTCATTAGTAAGTTATTTACAACATAACTCACATTACAGTAATCACATTCAATGACAGCAATAACGAAGTGGAAAGTAAATTAAGTAGAAAGGTTTTCTATTAAATAGAAACGTTGATTTCCTTGTTTTTTCCTTCTTTTTTCTTTCTGGGTCACACCTGGCTCTGCACTCAGGAACTACTGGCGATGTTCAGGGGACCATATGGGATGCTAGGAATCAAACCTAGGCGGGCCACGTGCAAGGCAAACACCCTACCAACTGGGCTCTCATTCCAGCCCCCTTTGTTTTTATTTTCTAAGAGTTAAGCTTCTAAGGTTTATCTGAACGATTGCTAAAAAAAGCATATAAATTGTCTCCAAACCTCTTTTGCTCCTCTGACAAAGTCTATCCATTTTATTTCACCATGATTTGAGAAAAGAATATGCAAATCTTCTCTACAGGTCTGATCGTCCAAATCCCCAGAAAATTTCAACAAGCATCCAATCTTTTCTTCAAGAGATTTCTATAGAATACACAAGAAAGTCAGTTTTTTAAAAGCAACAACCGCTCTAGTTTATAGAACAAAAGAAACCTAGAAAATTTTAAATGTTGAGTAGCATTTTTAATTTTGGGACCACATATGACAGTGCTCAGGGATCATATACAGTGCTGGGGATTGAACCTTAGGACAAACCCATGTAAGCAAGGTAAGTGCAGTACCTTCCCAGTATACTCTCTGGCCCCTGAAAAGATTTTTAGGGTGCATTTTCCTTTGCTCCACAATGGTTTCTGATTTCACTATATACAATTTATCTAACAATAGTTTTAAAGCATCTCCATTTTTTATTCTCCAACATAACTATATGAGTCCTAGGGGATTTTTTTGTTTTTTCCTTTTGCGCCAGGATCAAACTGAGGGCCTCATAGCATAATACATACAAATTCTTTTTTTGCAGTGAGAGGGGCAAACCCAGGATCTCTCACATTACAAGGCAAGTGAGGTTCTACCACTGAGCTATATCCCCACTCCAAATTACAGTTTTCTTCACTGTATCACTGTTATCCTGTTGTTCATCGATTTCCTCGAGCAGGCACAGCAACGTCTCTTTCGTCCTAGCCCTGAAATTTAGAAAAGTGCCACATTCGAGGCTCTTTCAGGCCAGGGGAATGAGACCCATCATTGTTACTGGGTTTTGGCATATCGAATACGCCACGGGGAGTTTCCCAGACTCTTGTCATGCGGGCAGGATACTCTCGGTAGCCTGCTGGGTTCTCCAAGAGTAAGAACTAGACAGTAAGATGTCAACAGTTTTCTTAAATTTCTATAATATAAACTTACCATCTCAGCATTTTCTGCTAACTTTTGTTTTTCTTCTTGCTCTCTACGAAAAAAGTAATCAGAACATTACTTTGCAAGAAAATTAATTCTAATAGTTACTCACGATCATGATGTTAGGTAAAATACTTAATAATCAAAGCCAGAACTAAGATTTTCTTATTGCCCAATATCAGTACAATCATAATACAGTCCAATTACCAAAGCAACTTAAGATTTTGGCATTTTACTAGTAGGAAAGAAGTTCTTCCTGCTACTCAGCCAAGAGCTCTGCTTACCAAAACCACTAACTCTACGAACTAAACATTATGATTATCTCCACGTACTTACTGTTTAGCTCGTAATTTGGCTTCTACTTTATTTTGCTTTCTTTCTTCATTTTTTTTTGCAAAGTAATCTTCCCTAAAAGACATAACATGTGGAAGCTAAGTTCATGAGAATAGAAATAAAACTAAAATTATTATGAATTTCATAAAACTGGTCAGAAGACAGCTGAAAGCTTACTTGAAAAGAATTAGCAGGTCTGTATCTTTGTATTTCTGGCCAGGCATCTCAACAAACTTCTTGGCAGATTCAACGCAATCAAACACAGCAAATATTGATCCCTATTAAAAAGGGTAGAAGATTTTTTTAAAGTCACATCTAATTGTTCAACTAGGAAAAATACATAAGGTCATATACTATACCTTAAATGCTTTATGCAGTGTTCTTCTCATTTGAATATTTAGTACTTGACCTTTATTTTCTAGCCATTCTTTTATGTCATCAAGGGTTGCATCAGTTGGGAAACCTTTCTATAAAAAGGATGGATACAAATAACTTTTCAGAAAACTAATTCCCCAGGAATATTTGTATTTCTTTTGTCTCACTTGAAATGAAGCCATACACACCTCTCTCTTGAGTTTTCTAGTTAAAAGCTACTGTTTCCCAAGTCAATGAAAGTGACTCATTGATCAGGGCTTCATTTCAATGAGGACTGAGATTAAAACCATTCTAATATATAAATAACCGCTGAATAACAGTATATATTAATTATGCTTGTTTATCAAAATTTTTCTGAATAAAGTCTACCAAGAAAATTGGGGGGAGATAATTTAATCATCAGAGCACATGATTTGCACTGCATGGTCCCCTGAAGCTGCAAGGAGACCTAGCAGAACCCAAAAACTTAAGAAAAAAAATGTTATCAAGTTTGGCTATTGGTAACCAAGAATAGATGGTATATACTGGGTGCTTAGACAATGCATAAGGTTTTATCAATGTTGAATGAGACTTCATTTTATTTGCAACATTTTTCTAACAAATATAATAGCCTTTACATAAAGTTTAAGAATACTGCCCAAGAATACAAGGTAAACAAACAATGAAACTGAATTCCTACATCCTTATTCACTCCACTCTTATGTTCTTTCTAAATAAATGTGAGATAAAATTAAATGCATTATAGGCCCACTTACAATGTAAACAGATCTGTTTTTTACATCACTTTTATATTCATCAGTTACTTCAGGGAGGGGTTTGTTTGGAGATCTTCGGATTTTAGTTTTGTCTTCACTTATTTCCATGAGTTCTGCCTTAGATTTGCTCAATGCTTCAACTATTACATTAAAATCTGTTGTTAGACGATTTAACCTAAGTACACAAAAGCACAGTAAAACTAAGCAGCACTGCTATTGATAAGGAATCTGAAAATTTTTTTTTTTGAGAGGTTCTTTACCTGTTGAATTTTATCATGATCTCCAAAGGCACCCAGCCTTCATCTAGTTTGATCTGTTCCTTTAAAAATTTGTCCCGAGGCAAATTGAAGTCACCGAAATAATACTAGAAGATAATCACAATATGTTTCAGAACACTGTGGAATAATGGATCCAATCTACCTTTAAAAAATTCATTTCTTTAAAAAATATGAGGCAACAAACACTTTCTCCTAAATGCTCAATAATACATATTACCAAGAACCCCCAATAAAGATTACTAAAGTAATATAATTAACTTATGGCAATAAGACCAGGAAACATTGAAACATATAAACCAAAATTTAGCACATGAAAAGCCTATGTTCAAATCAGTGCAAGAACAGACTTGTTAAACTGGATAAAAAAGAAAATGAACACTTTTATCAAAGCATAATCACTTTCTCAGTGTACAAGCAAAGGAGGAAAAAACACATGAAGATTCAGGTCTAATAACCAAAATACCAATGGCAAAACAAAAAGACAAAAAGGTTTGTTAAGCATTCCTATAAATCAAGGGCGATGGGAGGAGGGGCACACAACTGAAAACTTGATAAAGGGTCAAGGGGAAAATTGTTAAAATTAGAAATTAGAGATAGAAATTTATCATGAACATACAAAATTTAACCTCAGCACCTACTAGTGGCCTGAGTACACTCAGGTCAGTGAGCCACAAAATGTTTTCAATATGCAAACCTTCCAGGGTTCAAAGTCGTAGCTCTACGACCAAAGAGTTAGTAGAGAGGTTCCCCAAGCGCAGCCAGGAATGATCCCTGAATAAAGAGCCAGGAGTAAATCTTGGTATGCCTCCAATCCCCAAAAGCAAACCATTTAGGCTAATAAATTTGGAATTATTTTTTTTCTTTTTGGGTCACACCTGGCAATGCACAGGGGTTACTCCAGGCTGTGCACTCAGGAATTACCCCTAGCGGTGGTCAGGGGACCATATGGGATGCTGGGAATCGAACCCAGGTTGGCCGCGTGCAAGGCAAACGCCCCACCCGCTATGCTATTGCTCCGGCCCCAAACTTGGAAATTTTATCTTGTTCTATGACATCACAGAACTATTAAAACTAAAGAAATGAAAATATTCTATATATCAAAAAGGGAAGTGAATAAACTATTGATGACTAAAATCTGACTCCCCCAAAGTGCATCCCATTCTGTTGGTACAATCTTTGCTTTAAGTTTGAAAAGGTATATATCATGCTTTTAAATGTGATTATCTCAACAAGATCTGAAAGGTAGCAGGTTGGGGGAGGGACTTTCTTATTAACCTTTTCTATTTCTGATTTCTTCATAATCATAAAGAAATTAACACAAAAAGTTCTAGAAGAGAATTTGAAAAGGCTGAAGTACAACTTTTTGTTTTTGGGTCACACCCAGAGATGGTCAGGAGACATTTCTGGCTCTGCTTAGGTGACCTAACTGGTGCCAGGATTCAAACCAGGATCAATGTCAGTAGTCATATACAAGGGAAGTGCCTTACATCCATCACCCCCTCCAGCCCAGCCCACAAGTACAATTTAGCCCACCAAATACACAAGTTTCTCAGTAACAACCAAAAAAATAAAGGGGTAACTTTCCAAGCAGTCTTTACTGACACTGTAGACCTTCAACACTTAAATATAGCATGTATTTTTTTTTCTTTTGAACTGTGGCAGAGTTGTAGAGACAGGTCCCAAGAAAAATGGAAACAACCCATCTGGATTTCCTCTGCTTGTACTGTAGCACCATCTGTCCCCATGCCAGCACGAAGTAGCAAGGAATGGGAAAGATTTAGGTGCTTAGCATCTCAGTTTTTAAGATGTTGCTACATAAATTATAGGAACCCAGGTTCTGCATTAACATTTAAATGCCTTCAGCATCAGCTTAAATTTTCCCCAACTCAACAATGTTGTAACTACCTAAAAGTAGATCTACTGCACTCTTTAAGAGTGGACATAAAACTACAAGAGGGGCTGAGGATGTAACTCAAATGTCTTCCATGTGGTATGGGAATGGCCCTCAACGTCTTCCATGTGGCATGGGAATGGCCCTCAATTTTTAAAAAGGGGGGGAAAAAGCCTACTAGGACTTCCAAAATTATATATGCAGTATAATTTGGGGGGAGTGTTGTCATACTCAGTGGTGATCAGTGCTTTCTCTTGGCTCTGTGCTCCAAAACCACTTGTTGTGGTCTTGGGTTACTCCATAAAGGGTGCCTACAATTGAACCTTGGTTGGCCATATGCAAGGTAAGTGCTCAGGGCTGCTGCTGCTTCTTTTTTTTTTTTAAATATCACATGGATCCTTCTGGAAATTTTACCTTTTGTTTTATAGCAGGAAGGAGTCTGCATTTAGAGAATACACTTTGGTAAGAAGCAAAAAATCCCAGTCCAAATGTCTCATATTAACATTTAGTTAATATGTTGGGCTGGAGCGATAGCACAGCGGGTAGGGCATTTGCCTTGCACGCGGCTGACCCGGGTTTGTTTCTCCGCCCCTCTTGGAGAGCCCAGCAAGCTACTGGTGACGTATTTGATACGCCAAAAACAGTAACAATAAGTCTCACAATTTTTTGAGACGTTACTGGTACCCGCTCGAGCAAATTGATGAACAATGGAAGGACAGTGCTACAGTTAATATGTTGATTATTAATGAACTATTGATTCTAATTAGTTTTGATTAGAACTGAAACCCTAATGAAACCTCACAATCACTTCATGAAGAAAATACTTCATGAATACCATCCCCACCTCATATACTAAAAAAAAATATTAAATGGGCAGAATGGTACAGAGCTTGCTGTGCAAACACTGGAGATTAGATTTGATTCACAGCACAGCAGCATCACCAAGAGCTTCCCTGTGCACAGAGGCAGAAGCTCAGCTTGGTGTATCCCCACCAAAATAGTAATAAATTCAAAAGAAAAAGAAAAAAATCTTTTGAAATGTTTAAGTCCTTGGAATTATTAAAATGTAAAAGCATATACTACACTAATTTAACTATATTAATACTAATATAAAACCAAATACTATATTCATCTAATCCCAAAAATCAAACGCAAGCCAACGCTCAGAAATACTGACTAGCTGGTCCTTGTATTTGTTTTCAGGCCCTAAATTAAATTCCCATTGAAGGAGCATGTTTTTGCAGCTAACAGCACAAGAAACATACCTCAATCTGATGACAAATTTTGGCTTCCAGGGCAGCCATTTTTTCATTATCACCATTTTCAGCCATTGTGGGCTATCTGTAAAATTTCCCCAAATTGGCATAAAGAGGTTATTCTTTTTTCACATAAACACGAGACCGAAAACACTTTTTTCCCCAACCAATATCCCATTCTTTTTCTTAAAAGAACTAACTTTACAGGTTCCATTTCTCTACATAACTCTAAACAAGAAAGAAAAAAAACTTTGGACTAAGTGATGAAAACTGAAAAGCTTATCATAAACCACATCCACTTCAGTAAACTCACTGTTCCAGATGGAACCCACTGTTCTATCTTCTTCAACAAAATTAGTGTTTCTCTTCATTTAAAATTAGTGTTTCTCAGTTTAAGGAAAACTGAGGGGAAACATGCCAGTTATCAATTACTTGGGCTTTTCGAGGAAAATCACCTGTCAGCATAGCACAAGGATCTCAGTCCTAGTTCTTTTAAAACCAGTAACAGCGTATTTACAGAAACTTTTCTGTTCGTTTTTTTTTGGGGGGGGGGGGGGCACACCCAGCGGTGCTCAGGACTCACTCCTGGCTCTGTGCCCGGGTTCACTCCTGGCGGTGCTCGGGGACCATATGGGATGCCGAGTAGGCTGCGCGCCAGGCAAACAAACGCCCTCCCCCCCCCCCCCCAGAAACTTATCAGAGAAATATCCTAACTTGAGGGTGACAAAAACTCAAGTGGTTCGGTCAGGGTTAGCGGAGACGCTGCGTGTTAAGGAAAATATGAAACAGATCACTCGAGTACCTTGGGACACTCAAAGTGGGGAATTCTACTCAAATCGCCCGAAGCCTTACAAGTGTCCTTCACATCCCTGACCCGGGCACTGCAGGGGAGAAAGGGGGGGCGAGGGGGCGGGCAAGCGGGGGAATAAGGGTCGCCTGGTTTACTAGAGAGAGGTGAAATGCCCAAGTCTTCAGATTGCAAATGACTGGTCCCGGGAAGCGCCCCTCACCCTGCTGGTCAAACACGCTCTAAAGGTGTCTGAAGACCGCATCCGGGTGACCTGCCCCTCGATTTAACTACCACTGGCACGCTCTGGAGACAGAGCGATCTGTAATCGCTGTGCCAATTATCCGGATGGGCACTGAGCACTCTACCAGAACGTCTCCGGTAAAAATATTCCCCCGCTGAGGTACTGGATCCCTCACAGAAAGCGACCTGTGAGGAAGACGAACAACAACAACAAAAAAAACTATTGCACCCCTCTCAGACTTCTCTGGGGAGAAAATCTGGAACTTCATTTCCTCAGATGCTCTTCCAGAACACTGCAACTTGGCAGCGCTAAGCACTACGCACACCTTGGAGGCAACGCTCTCACACGCGGCCTCGCCACGAGCGAACGGGGACTTCAAGGATCGCCCGCGGCGGGGAGAAGCAGGATTCTCGGGCCTCCGGGGTGGGATTCCCCGGCCCACAGGACCCAAGAACCAGCCTTCGGTTCCATGCGGTTCCATGCTCTCAAGGCGACAATGGAAAGTCGTGGAGTGAAGAAACCGCAAGACGCCGCGAGGCTGCCGCAGTCTTAGTTCCAGAGCCTCCCCCACCTCGAACTCCCTCTGGCCCTCCCGGTCCGCCACCTAAGTCCCAAACCAACCACGGGCTCGCCGGGCCTCGGCCACGTGCGGGAAGCTTCCCAACTCCCTCCCCAGGTGCAGCCTCCCGCGCGGAGGGCCGGCCCCGCGCCGCCCGCGACTCCCGGGGCGCCGCGCGCCGCCTCCGGCCCCGGCCCACGCGGTGCTCGCCCCGAACGTGAGGGAGTTCGCAAGGAAGCGAACGGCGCCTCCGCGCACCCCGCCGGGGAGGTCCATTCTACACCATCTTCTTGCCAGCCGCCCGAAGTTGCTCACCTTCCGGGCCCTAGTCCCGCGCCACGGGCACGCTAACGGCGACAGCAAAGACTTGGCTTCCCCAGCGCCGCTGGCCGGCCTCAAGCGCGGAAAGACCGGGGCCGTCCCGACAGCCCTCGCGGCGCCGGTGGGCGTGGCCTCGGCGGGATTCTGTGGGCGCCGGCGCGGAGCCCTGGGCATGCGCACCGGCCGGGTTCTCAGGGACCGGGGAGTCCCGCCCCCGCTCGGAGGGGATTGGCTGAGAGCCACGCTCTCCGGCCGACGCGGAGGGCTGCGGCTCGTGCCTATCTTGGGCAGGACCCGGGTTGAGTTCCCGGCAGGCCGGGGGCTGTCTAAGCACCGCTGGGTGCTTAACCTGGCTGGACCCCAGCGCTGCCCGGAGGACCTCCTCCCATGCACCTTTGCTGCCGTGTGCTGTAGGTGCTCGGGGAAAAATAGGTCCAACGGTTTCTCGCTGTCTTTGTCTGCCGGCCGTTCTTGGTTTTCCACGCATAGGAAGTGTTTGCCTTTTCTGTTTGTTTTTAGGACACTTCAAACAGAGAACTTTATCTCCGAAGGATGTTGTGGTAGTTCTTAAAAAAACATGAAAAAAGTGAATTTAAAAATCAGTTCGTGGGGTGGAGCAATAGAACAGCGGGTAGGGTGTTTACCTTGCACGCAGCCAACCCCGGTTCGATTCCCAGCATCCCATATGGTCCCCTGAGCACCACCAGGGGTAATTCCTGAGTGCAGAGCCAGGAGTGACCCCTGTGCATCGCCGGGAGTGACTCAAAAAGAAAAAAAAATCAGTTCGTGGGATCTTGGAGTTGAGAAACAGTCTGAAGTCAAACTGTTCAAATAACAGCTTTCCTGCCTGTGCACTGTGTAACCTTGGGCAAGTTACTCAACTTTTCTGTTCCTCAAAACGGTGCCAGTGCTAAATATTGCCTATTTTATTTAGTTGTTGTGGGCAACATGTACTTTTCTAGGATGTGTGCTTAGTAAGAGAAGCCATATCTATTAATTAAAACAAAATCCACAATTTTAAAAGATTTAAATATCCTGGAGTGCTGAAACCTATTATCTTTGCTAGTGCCCTTTCCTATTTGTATACCTTATGCAGATAATTTCACTCACTTAAAGAAACTTATTTTTTTGTTTTATTTATTTATTTATTTATTTTGCATTTTAAAACATTTTTAAACTAATTTTATTGTTTACCATTAGCTTAAAGGCCCTCCCGTTGATTATCGATTTGCTCGAGCGGGCCAGTAATGTCTCCGTTGGAGATTTTGTTGTTACTGTCTTTGGCATATCGAGTACATCACGGGTAGCTTGCCAGGCTCTGCCGTGCGGGCGAGATACTCTCGGTAGCTTGCCTGGCTCTCCGAGAGGGGCGGAGGAATCGAACTTGGTTTGGCCATGTTGGCTGCGTGCAAGGCAAACGCCCTACCGCTGTGCTATCGCTCCAGCATTAGCTTGGGTGAAGCGATAGCCCAGCGGTAGGGTATTCGGTTTGCCTTGCGAGATGTCAGCCGGATGAGCAGGGTTTGGTTCCTCTGCCTCTCTAGGAGAGCCCTGCAAGCTACTGAGAGTATCTCGCCTGCGGGGCAAAGCCTGGCAAGCTTCCTGTGATGTATCCGGTATGGCAAACACAGTAACAACAAGCCAAACACAGTAACAACAAGTCTCATAATGGAGCGGTTACTGGGCCCGCTGGAGCAAATTGATGAACAACAGGACAGTGCTACAGTGCTACCATTAGCTTGAAATACTCAGGAGTTTGGGAATACAGCTTCATACTTCTTAAATGTTTGTACATGTCACCATTCCATCCTCAAAGTTCTCCTGTTTCACTCTGTTAAAATGATCCTGCTATCCATCCTTTCACCCTCCTTCTCTTTCCTCTCTGGTAACACACACACACACACACACACACACACACATATTTAATGAAGGAGTACTGCTATTTATTCAGCCACTAGCTTAGCTGATTGAATTGGGCATAAACTCCACCTTTTTTTTTCATTTTTTATAATTTTATGTATTGAATCACCGTGAGAGCAGTTACAAAGCGTTCAAGTTTAAGTCTCAGTCATGCAATGAAACACCTGTACCTTCACCAGTGCCCATTCTCCACCCCCAAATGCCCCAGAATACCCCCATCCCACACCCTCCCCCTACCTGTGGGGCAGATGATTTCCACATTACTCTCTCTCTACTTTGATTACATTCAAAATTTTGACACCAGACCCACCATTATTATTTGGGATTTTACCCCAACACTGGGGCTGGAGCGATAGCACAGCGGTAGGGCGTTCGCCTTACAAGCGGCCAACATGGCCGACCCGAGTTCGATTCCTCCGCCCCTCTCGGAGAGCCCGGCAAGCTACCGAGAGTATTCGATATGCCAAACACAGTAACAACAAAGTCTCCAATGGAGATGTTACTGGGCCCGCTCGAGCAAATCGACTATCAACGGGAGGGCCTTTACCTTTACCCCAACACTCAGATCTGCTGAAAAGGCAGCACTAGACAATTTTCTTTCTATTGTTGGTTATGAATAACATATGATGTCATGTGGCTGCAGTAGTGGCTGCACGATTTTGGAATTCCAAAGTTTTAACAATTAAATCTGGAGGGAGTTCTACCAAAACCTGCTGGGTTCTGAGATTTGTTTCTGAGTCTCTGGGATAATGGCCATTAAGCAGCTTGATCAGGAGCCAGAGAGGCTGTTCCTGGGCGGTGACTTGGGATCTCGTTGGGGTGGGGAGGAAAGGGCCGGCTCCACACCCATCCCGTGAGGCCCCGCGTGTCTCGTCATTGCGGGTGCAAACCTGACTGTCCAATGGCCTCTGGAAGATGGCGGCCACGGAGCTGACTATGGGGAGCAGGCTGAGGGACAGCACCCTTTACCCCCTGGGTTGGCCTGGTGACAGTAACCTACTGTGTGGTCTGGATGCATTTCTGCCAAAAGCCACTGGGTTTCAAGATTTGTTTCTGAGTCTCTGGGATCATGGCCATTAAGCAGCTTGATCAGGAGCCAGAGAGGCCATTTGTGGGCAGCGACTCAGGGTCTCGTTGGGAAGGGATGAAAAAGGCCGGCTCCACTCCCATCCCGTGAGGCCCCACACGTTTTGTCACTGTGGGCCCAAACCTGACTGTCCAGTGGCCTCTGGAGGAGGACAGCCACCAAGCCGCCAGGGGGAACAGGACAAAGGCAGGAAACTTGTTCCCACCTAGGGTGGCCCAGCGCTGGTAACCTACTTCAGGGACTGGATGCAGTTCTGCCAAAAGCCGTTGGGTTTCGAGATTTGTTTCTGAGTCTCTGGGATCATGGCCATTAAACAGTTCGATCAGGAACCAGAGAGGCCATGCCTCCAATTAGATAGCTGATCCGGAGGTGGTTTGTGGCTGTATCTCTCATATACCTAACTTTTGGCCATTTACTTTCTTGGTAAACTTTGCCCCAAGTTTTTGGGGTCTGGCCAAAGGCACAGTAGCAATTTTGGGGTAGCTGCATCATCTGCTGATGCACTCACCTCACAGGTACAGATTGACCTGCTGGCGGCACCATCCCCCCCAAAGTTATATTTTTATTTTTATTTTATTTATTTTTATTTTTTTGCTTTTTGGGTCACACCCGGAGATACACAGGGGTTACTCTTAGTTCTGCACTCAGGAATTACTCCTGGCGGTGCTCGAAGGACCATAAGGGATGCTGGGAATCAAACCCAGGTCAGCCGCATGCAAGGCAAATGCCCTACCCACTGTGCTCCAGTCCGATTTATTTATTTATTTGTTTATTTATTGCTTTTGGGGTCACACCTGGCAATGCACAGGGGTCACTCCTGGCTCTGCACTCAGGAGTCACTCCTGGCGGTGCTCAGGGAATCATATGGGATGCTGGGAATTGAACCCGGGTTGGTCGCGTGCAAGGCAAACACCCTACCCGCTGTGCTATTGCTCCAGCCCCCCATATATTTATTTTTTAACAGTTGTTTTTCTTGTGCTTCGCCTACTCATTTGCTGTGGTTATCTATTTTTCATATATAAATAAAATAGTGTGAGGGCCGGAGCAATAGCACAGCAGGTAGGGCGTTTGCCTTGCACGTGGCCAACCTGGGTTTGATCCCCAGCATCCCATATGGTCCCCCACGCAAGCACCGCCAGGAGTGATTCCTGAGTGCAGAGCCAGGAATGACCCCTGAGCATCGCTAGGTGTGACCCAAAAAAGAAAAAAAAAAACAAAAAATTTGGTATTCTCTCTTTTTTTTTTGTCTTCCATTTCTGCTGTCTTAGTTAGTCTAATTATCTGAAGTTTCATTTTTGTTATCTGGAAAGGCATAACATTGTCCCTTTTTTATAGCTGAGTAATATTCCATCAATGATGTACACCACTTTTTATCTATTATTGCACTTCCTGTCTTTTTTGTCTGATATTAGCTTTAAATACTTTACTCCAGCCTTTCACTATGAACCTATGTTTTTCCTAACATCAAATATGAGTTTATTGCATGCATAATATCACCAGAGCCTGCTTTTTGAATCTGTAGAGCCACTCTGTCTTTTGATCGATAAGTTCACATCATTCACATTTAGAGTAGTTATTGATATTATTAATTATTAATTACTGCAATTCATTTATTTTCCTGGTTTTCTGCTTTGGGTGTTTTTTTTTCCTGTTTGTCTTGTCATTTAGAAAGTTTTTCATAGTGAGTCAGTTTCACGTGTTTTTTTTTTCTTTCTCTTGGATTTCTGAAGGGTTCTGAAGTGTTTCAGAAATGTTTATGAAGGGTTCCCTTGCGCATCTATTCAATGACCCATTGTTTCCAGCTGAAATCTTGGAATCTTTAGCTGTTAACAAAAGTATATGTATGGTTTATTCTTGATCCAGATAAAGTCAAAACATCTATCAATGATACTGCCCCAGAAAGGGGTTTCACGTGTTAAAGTGTATGCCTCAGGTCAGTGTGGGTTCTTTTCTTAACCCCAGAGAGTAATAGCTTTGCAGAGAAGAAGGGAGGGAGCAAATACTTGCACAAAGTTTTGATTATTTGATTAAAGCACAAAGGAGACTCTTATATTGCTGCTTCTCTCATAGCATAATTGTATAGCATAAAACATTAAAATATTCTGTTAGGTGTTGATTTACAACAATCT